AAAAGGGCACTCTTAAAATGCATCTGGGCAATTTTCCCAAAAATTTTCGATAATTTTCATTGCATTCGTTATATTACTATTGATAATTCTTAAATTTACCCGTTTTAACTTTTTTTTCAACTTACCAAAACTAGACCATAACAAAATTCAAAACAAAAGTTAAATTGTATTTGTGTCTATAATAAATACACGCAATAATAAGATCGAATAACTTTTCCTCGAAAAATGGGAAATTCCTTAAGACCCGGCAACGCTGTTTAACAACGAGAACACCATTCTACGTTATGTTGTTTTATTTTTTAAAACCCCTCAATCTCCCCATGCACCCATATTTGCCATTCGGTCGTTGTTTACACAAAATGTCATACATTTGTTCGTGGCAGCACCAATCGATCATGTGTATTCCACATCAACTGTTGCCGGAAAAAGACGGGAGATGGTATCTGCATTCATTTGAGAAAGATGGGAATAATTTTTGTCTCTTGGCACGATTATTTCTATAGAGGCAACTGCGTGCGAATCTGGAAACAGTAAACATGGAGCAGTGGTCGGACGAGCAACGCGCGTTTATGGTCAAGTCGTTCTAAAATCAAACGATTCCTATGTCGCGGCACGGCAACGTTTCAGTAACCGTTACAATATTCGGCCTATACGTGACGTCGAAAACTTTCTTGAAATTGTGGGTTCAAAGATTCAGACAGAGTGGTACCGTGGCAAATCACAAAACGTCCACCAGAACGCAAAAGAACATTAAGATTGTGAGACGTGCTGCAATTGAACATCCGAGACGCTCAATTCAAAAAGTGGCCGGGACACTTCTGATTGGCCACTGTACCACTTTGTCTGAATCTTTGAACCCAATAATTTATATAATTAATAAACAATAATTTTTTTGACGGAGCATTACGTATACGCCGAATATTGTAACGGTTACAAAAACGTCGCCGTGCCGCGCCGCGACATAGGAATCGTTCGATTTCAGCGCTAACCTCCGTTCGAAAAGGGAAATTTACTCTGAGTTACCCTGGACGTACTTGAACGATTCATAAGTCAGGCTCTGTATTATTAGCTTACCGCGCGTTCATAGTGGGGTGTCAACTGTCAACAAATGTCTCTCCGAAATTCAAAGTGGCAAAAGTCACCGGATTCTTTAGTCAATCTCCGGGAAGGAGAGAAATTACTGTGTCGCTCGAAAGAAGTTTGTGGCAGTAGTAAGATCCATCGGGCTTTATTACAGTTTACTCTATGCAAAACAGTTCCTAGTTAGAACCGACAATTTTGCCTTGCAGTGGCACTTTATTTTGAAAACACAGTAAGTCAAATCGTATGGTGGTTAGAGAAATTACGACTTCCAAATCAGATATTCAGGACGAATTTACCAAAGAAAATTTCGAGAAAGAACAAAAATGATGAAAATGAATTGGAAATTTTGCGTGCTAACAAACGGAGAACGACCTGGGTGGCAAGAAATTTCCAGTTTCGGTCCAATGGTAAAGGGATACTTGCGCCAATAAGATTCACTGTGCCTGCGAGATGACGTAGTCACTCGTAAATGAGAAAGAGTCTGGACAGTAGTTGTAAATGCGAAAGAGTCGAACAGTAGTCGGAATGGTGACAACTTTGGAGTCAATAGGATGTTGGCTCGAGTTAGAGATTGGTATAATAGTACAATATCCCAACTTGAAACGACCTTCATCCATCGAGTTTCGGACTCAAAGTTCCTCGTCTGATTAGTATGAAGTTCCGTCGGTACCCCATATCTGGCAAAGATGTTTTCTAGTGATGCTTCAGCACGTGTAACCGTTCCTGGATTGCGAATTGGAACTACTTCTGGTCAGTTTGAATAGCTACCATGAGATTCTTGTTACCCGAATCTGTTGTTGGAAAGGTACCCGCAACATCTACTGCAATTCTTTTCCGGGAGGAACGAGACAAGTACTACTTCATTTTCCTTCGAGATGGTGTATTGAGTACATTCTTCTAAGCACATAAATTGCATCCTATCATCTGCCGTACGGATGATGGAGAACGTAGCAAAGGATGCGATTTCGGTGCTTAGAAGAATGTACTCAATACATCATCTCGAAGGAAAATATAGCAGTTCTTGTTTCGTTCCTCCTGGAAAAGAATTGCAGTAGATGTTACGGGTACTTTTCCAAAAACAGATTCGGGTAACAAGAATCTCATGGTAGCTATTCAAACTGACCAGAAGTAGTTCCAATTCGCAATCCAAAAGCGGTTACACTTGCTGAAGCATCACTAGAAAACATCTTTGCCAGATATGGGTTACCGACGGAACTTAATACTGATCAGGCGAGGAACGTTGAGTCCGAAGTATGAAAACCACTGATGGGATTACTGGGAATAAGGAAAACAGGAACTACCCGACTTCATCCACAGTCCGCCCGACGAAATAGTACAATCAAAATTGGACTATCAATCCACACCTTTCGATGTTTTTAGATGAGCACCATCGGGAATGAGATAGACTGATGCCTCTTTTGCTTCTAGCTTAACTCTCAGCACAAATCAACTAGCTATACTTATACCATCGGTGCTATTGTCTGGAAGTGAAATGAATCTTCACGTAGATTAATGTGGTTAGGCAGACCACCACCCAAACAATCAGTAACCGTTTTAAGTACGTACATAATACGTCGACCGTCGACGTAACTTACGTCCTACGTAAGTACCTACTCTAAAATCCACTGTACATAGTACGTCCAAATTCCACCCGATAAAACGTTTCATTTACATACATTATTGAAGTATTTAGAACGTCTTATGGACGTATATAAAACGTACTTTTTATATCTTATTTTACAAGGTCTAGAAATTAAAATAATTTCGATTAAATCATTTAAAATAATATACCTACTTATTTGCTGTACATTGCACATTAATAGATTACATATTTTTTATCAAAATGGACACAATTGAACGAATTAAATAAAAAATTAACAATTATATCATTGAATTTACCACATCCCACTCCGAGAAAATGGCGCGGGACGCGATCTTCTTGTGCCTTGGCGGCTGGCCGGCGCCTTGTCGCTTGTCGTACTTGGCTTGGGATGGAGGGGAACATGAAATTGATTTGACAGTTGAAATGGCGACATTGCCAAGGCCTCTGTTTATTTCCTTGTTTGGTCACAGTGTTCTGTTCAAGAAAAATTAAAAAGTGGAGCATCTGGACAATCAAGATGAATTATGTCTACAATTAAAAACAGTTTGGCCTAATAATTATTCAGATACCTATACGGCACGTTTAATATTAATACTAACCTTTTCATTGAACTTTTCCGAATCATATTAAATTTGGCAATGTTGCACAATTATCATTAATTTTGCTGGCGGAAATTTGAAAAATATTTATCTACTTATAAGTTGCGGTTGAACACTAATTAGAATTACCATTTGAAGGCACAGGTAAATGCAAAATAGGTTTCAAATAATTTTATAGGTGATTTTCAGCACGAGTTTTTGTGATAATTTTTTTTTTTTTTTTTTTAAACTCTTTTGTGTACTTACTATGTACGTACTAAGATGGACTGAAGCATTCATACAATGAACGTACCATGCATTGGTCTTAAGACGTACGTACGTAAATATGACCTAAAATGGACATTTTTAAAACGTACTGTGTTGTTTGGGCAGCCTATGAAGATGAAGCTGTACTTCCAGTTTACGTGGCCAATCTCCGGAACAGGCTCAGAGTAGTAGTTCATGAATTCGCCAGCACAGCACCTGAATATGTCTGAGCAGGGACAGAATGAAAATGCGACTGGACATACGACAGTCATTCATTGCACATCTTCAATAAAGGCGACGCCGTCTGGTTTTATCAGCCACAGCGAAGGAAGGGACTAAGCCCGAAATGTCTTGATCATCAGGAAGATGTAGGATTTGGAGTGTAGGATTCATCTTCCTCCGAAAGTTGAAGCCCAAGGTTGTACACATAGAAAGGTTGACGTCATACAGAGGTAAGAGTACACCGACTTGGCTGCGATGAGGAAAAACTTTTCAGGATCTGCTTTGACGAAAAGGGCAGTGTTATAAATCTCTCGAGTTGGGGAAATACTGGACAATGTTGATGCACTGCTTGATGACTGGATAATTTGCTAATAGAAGCTGAGTTGCAATATGCGTTAGAGGAACAGAGCGAATTATATAGGTAGGAAATTGTAGAAGCGACGACGCGCTATAAAAATGAGTCGACCACTGAGCGAAAAGGTCAGTGATAAACTAAACGCCAGTGTGTCAAGAATCAGTTACCCAATTGAAAGCAAGACGGTTGGTAATCGGATAATAAGTGGAAGGCGAGTCGATAGTAAGAAATTGACTTGTTATTTAGTTTTGTGACTAGTACAATGTCAAATTTAAATAGCGCGTAGTATACGGTCAATTTTTTTAATAAAAGTTGTTGCCGTTTGTGAAGTGAGTTTTAGTAAGCTCTGAATCCGTGACAATGTCTCGGATCGAATAATTCTTTTAAAAATATATTTATTTTTTGATTCAATTAGTTTATTCGAGTAATTTTCTAGCTAAATTAGGTACACTCGTGCATCGAAATAATCAGATAATTTTGCATTCAGGTGAATCGCCTTGCCTTAATCCTGTAATGCTTCTCCAATCAATTTAAAAAAGAGTAAGCATTCCTTTCTGTAGGTAAGCTTTCTCGATCGTATTTCAGCATTTAATTAATTTTTCTGTCAGCAGGCTCTTTCGATTCTTAAGACGTTTTTTACAAGTGTTATGCATCAAGTCTCTAGAATGGCAGCTGTTTACTTTCCACGATTTCTTTATAAAGTTTTTCGAAATCGATATCTCTGCCTATGATATTTGTTAAAGTTGACCAAATAAAGCGACGATTTAGTTTTTCATCAAATTATCTTTAATTACCTAACTCCTTTTCACATTCCAACCACCGCCCAAGATTCACAAAGTAGATCAGCCAAGTTATGGTTTTATTTGATTGTACCTACTATTTCAAATAAAGGATGCCTGGAGTACGTGTTTGCTTTGATATATTTCATTCAACACAGGTCCTGCTTCTATTCCTCCTTGTATCGACAACGGAGCCAAGAAGCCAAAATGGTCCTCCAAGTCGTACCAGAAAGAACGATCACACTCCATCTCTGCAAGCGCCTACCTTTAGGAGAGACTCAGTGGAACAAGTACCAGACGTCAATGCTTTCTCCAATTTTAAGGCTTCGAACATGGGCTTGGAAGAATTTGGAAGCAAAAGTTTGCCTTTGAGGGCTGCTGTTGAGAGTGTACCAGACATGTGAGGATTTTTTATTCTTATGACATACTTACATATATATATTTTTTGTCAATTCTAGAAATGAAATATCAAAAAGATTACCTCTCCGTGACGCAGTAGAAAAACGTCTTCCACCGGGTGAACCAAAAACCGAAAAAGACTCATATCTTTTTCGGTTTCAACAGCCATCTTATGAAACATTTCAAAGCCAAATAATTGACCAACCCGGTGGGGTTTCTTTGAAGTCATCATCACTAATATACTCACCGGGCAATCAATTTAAGACCATTATTAATAGCTATGTACCTTACAGAATTAACAATGGTTATCAAACACTTTTAATAAGCCCTGCTAGTCGGAAACAAAGCTTTGAATATGATGGTGAGAATATTACCTAAGCAATTTTGATACAACTAGATACAACAACGACACAAAAAATTTTTTTTTAGAAAGTCCTGTTTCCCAAGATGATGAAAAGAAAATCATTTGCTACGTCCAAGCTGCTGCAGCATACAGAAAAGAACCGTTAACCTTTTTTTCTGAAGATTTGGACCCGTACTTATGTACTCACGTTATTTACGCTTTTGCGTCATTCAATCCCGATACTTACAATATCGTCCCAAATGATGAAGAATATGATATCGTACAAGGAGGATATAGATCTGTAATTGGCCTCAAAGAATACAATAGAAACCTTAAAGTTCTTCTTTCCGTTGGAGGTCCTAGAGATGCTTATACTGGCAAATTCTCCCGCATGATCTCCAACGCGACTAGAAGGCATGCTTTCATTGAAACCAGTTTCAATTTGATTAAACAATATAGCTTTGATGGTATAGAAATTCATTGGGAATGCTCAGTGAGAGAAGAATCAGGAGGCCAGCCAACTGACAAAGAAAATTTTCAACTATTCCTTGAAGAACTTTCTAAAGTATTCAAGGAGTCCGGGTATTTGGTAGCTCTGGCGGCACCAGCTTCAAGATTCCGAATTGAGGATGGTTTTTATCCTGCTAAATTGGATCATATAGTCGATTTTGTCAATGTTCAAGCTTACGACTTTCATCGGGATAGAGATCCGGTAGCTAATCATCATGCTAATTTAAATGCTAGACCTGATGAGGAAGGCATAAATATATTACTGAATGCCGTAAGGAAATTAAATAGTAAAGTTCTTCAATAATTGAATGACGTTTTTCTTTTAGGATTATGCAATCAAATTTTGGACTAAAAACGGCCTTTCAAGCAAAAAAATTATCTTAGGCATCCCCTTCTTTGGAAGATCGTTCACTTTAGAATTCGCCAATAATACAGAAATATCCGCGCCTATCAAAGGCCCTGGTCGACCAGGCTTTTACACTCAAACACCAGGATTTTTGGCTTACTTTGAAATCTGCGACATGGTGGTCAATGAAGGTTGGTCTAGAAGTGAAGATCAAGATGGATCTCCTTATATTGTTAATGGTGATCAATGGATTGGATATGACGACGAAGAAAGCATTAAAAGAAAGGTGAAAAAAACTTGTTTAAATTGGTGTTGAAAATTATTCTATTATTGATTATTTTTAGGTTTTGTACATAAAGAAGCATGATCTTGGAGGTGCATTTGCTTGGGCTGCTGACCTTGACGACTTCAAAGGACTATGTGGCAATAAATATCCTCTTCTTGAGACAATTAATAAATATTTGAAAGGTAAAGAACCACCTATGCTAATCGCCGACTTGAACAATCCGGTCAAACCATTTGGAATTTGTCATTCTGAAGGCTACTACAGTGACCCAAGAAACTGCGCCGGTTACTACGCATGCAAAAATGGACTTAGTTATCACCTTTCCTGTGGAAACACTAAAATGTTTGACTCATCTACTGGAAAATGTGTTGAATTTGACACAAATAAGTGTAAACCTGGTGAAACTGTCTATATTCATCACCATTTGAAGCATCTGAATCGTGAATTATTCAAAGAAGAACTGAAGGAAGATGGTCCAAAGGTAATGAATCAATAACAGAATAATCTTTGGAATAGACATAAAAATGGTGATTTTTATTTAAGGTTGTGTGCTACGTGACAAATTGGGCCTTCTACAGAAAAGCGGAAGGCAAATTTGTTCCAGAATATATTAACGAACAACTTTGCACCCATATAGTGTATGCTTTTGCAAGCTTGGATCCTGAAAGTCTTCTTTTAAAAGAATTTGATTCTTGGGCGGATATTGATAACGGTTAGTTATAAAAGATAGGAGTAGACATAAGGATTAAAATATTTCGGCACCTTTTGTGTAGGTAATCAAATGCCGTTTTCCAGCTAGTTCAGTTTTTCTGCCTCTTCGCTCAGCATAGTTTTTTTTTCCATATCTTTCCAGATCTCTACCAAAGAATCACTTCCCTTAATTCCAAAGTGCTGCTTTCTCTTGGAGGATGGACTGACTCAGCAGGTGATAAATATTCAAGACTTGTAAGTGACGGATCGGCTCGAAGACGCTTTGTTGTTGGTACTGTTAGTTTCTTGAGGCGTCATGGATTTAGCGGACTTCATTTTGACTGGAACTACCCCATTTGCTGGCAAAGCAATTGCAAGAAAGGCCCAGCGTCAGATAAGCCCAACTTCAGTAAACTACTTCAGGAATTGCAAAAGGAGTTCGACAAGCAGAGCCCTCCTTTAATTCTGGCAGCTTCTATTTCAGGATATAAAGAAGTAATTGATGTGGCCTATGACTTACCTTCTTTGAGTAGAGCTTTAGATTTTATGTCGGTCATGACGCACGATTATCATGGCGCTTGGGAAGGGAAAACTGGTCATGTTAGTCCACTTTACCGTCATCCTTCAGATCAATATCCACAATATAATACGGTAATTATTCATCCTAACAACCTATAAATTATGCTTATAGCATTTAATTCTAGAACTTTACTATGGAATATTTAGTATCAAAAGGAGCCCCTCGAGAAAAGCTTTTAGTTGGCATTCCCTTTTATGGTCAAAGTTTTAGTCTCATTAAATCCGACAGTTATGCTGAAGGTTCTATATCTAGTGGTCCTGGAGAACCTGGAGAATACACGAAACAACCTGGTATGCTAGCTTACTATGAAATTTGCAATAGAATCAAAAACAAGAATTGGGTTAGCAACAGAGGCAGTTTTGGATCTGGACCATATGCTTATTTTAAAGACCAGTGGGTTGGATTTGAGGATACTGATTCGATAAGAGACAAGGTAAGTTTTCCATCCAAAAAAAGAAATGTTAATTAAGTATACCATTGTGAATGTTCAGGGAAATTACATAAGAACCAGTGGTTTTGGTGGCGCAGTAGCTTGGACAATAGATTTAGACGACTTTACCAACCGGTGCTGCACTGGTAGTTACCCCCTTCTTCATAGCCTCAATTATGCATTGGGACGTATCTCAACAGTTCCAAAAAGTGGGGATTGCTCTAAGCCAGTTACACCATCTACTCCTGCTCCTCCCGAAACTACTACAGGAGTTGATTCAGGTTCTGCAACTTCAGAACAGCATCATCATGACTGGACAACAGCATCAACCACAAAAAAACCTACAACAACGCCTTGGTGGACCGCCTCTTCAACTACTACCAAACCTAGCACAACTGCTTCTGTTGGGTGGACACCATCTTCGACCACTTCAAAGCCTAGTACCACCGCTTCCGTTTGGTGGACCAGTGCGTCTACCCAACCTTCCACCTGGTGGACTACTGGTAAAACCACTACACCCTGGTGGGAAGCCAGTAAGCCTTCAACAACATCTACGACAAGACGCCCAGCGACAACTGAAGTACCTTTAGTACCACCACCTGCAGTAGTTATGCCGGAATACGAAAAACCTAGTCAGAGATGTGAACCAGGACAATATTTACCTGTTTCAAATAACTGCAACGCTTTTTACAGGTAATATTTTTGGCTGTAGAATAATAAACAGAGCAATAGACTCATTCTTCAATGCTTTTAGATGCGTGGGTGGCGAACTAAGCAAGCAGTACTGTGCTGGTGGGTTGCACTGGAATAGGGAAACGAGTATTTGCGACTGGCCTAGCTCTGCTAAATGCAAAGAGTTGCGTAAGTGATTGTTTACCTATCCTTAGAAAAGATAATATCCACTAATAATTATTATTTTCTAGCCTACACTGCCTCCACTCTTATTCCCTCTACACAAACAACCACTCGCTATAGTAAAACTACCCAGTATTATTATACGACGACTTCCACTACGCCTGCAAGTCACCAGGATGACTCAGAAGCTGCATGCGAACCAGGTTCATACTATCCTCACGAAAATTGCAATAAATTCTATGTATGTGTCAATGACCGACTTTTGGCTCAAAGTTGCGCTCCAGGTCTTAACTGGAACGTTGATAAAGCCATGTGCGATTACAAATTTAAGGTTAAATGTGCTGGCAGAAAGAAAATAGCTGAAAAGTATACCGATATGCACTATATATCTATAATTAGTAAGTTTTTTCTTATTGTACAAAATATGAATAGTGAAATTTGCTTTACATCATCTCAGAACCTCAACCACATTCCAAATGTGGAGAAAATATGTTTGCGCCACATGCGACTGATTGTACCATGTATATGCAATGTCTTTGGGGAAAATATGAAGTTTTCCAATGTGCTCCTGGTTTGTATTGGAACAGTGTAAGTTTTGAAGCAGCTTTTTGATTTTACTTTTCTTTCAATCGTTATAAATTTCCTAATAGGAAATGAATATTTGTGACTGGCCTAAAGGAGCTCACTGCCAACAAACAGAAAATGAAATCGATGTTGCTATTCCAGAAGCAACTGAATCTCCGGAAAGACCTTTAGCTCCATTACCACCTTATAAACCATCTACTTCGAAGCCAACAACATCCAAACCCCAATCAACTACCCAATGGGAATACAAACCACCTTCGACAAGTGAACCCGGTGAAAATGCTTGGGAATGGCATCCGCCAATTCCACCTACATCAGAAAAACCTCCACTGTCTGAAACATTGAAGCCAAAAGATGATTATTTTAAGATAGTCTGCTATTTCACTAACTGGGCTTGGTACAGAAAGGGACAAGGCAAATATTTACCGGAAGATATTGATGAAAATTTGTGTACCCATGTTGTATATGGCTTCGCTGTTTTGGACTTTTCGAATCTTATTATAAAGGCTCATGATTCGTGGGCTGACTTCGATAATCGTAAGTACCTACCTATATGGGTCATCATTAGTAATTCAAGGTGTAACACAGCATACACAATAAACCATTCGATATACAACAAGTATATGTATCTAAGATTGGACTTGTCGAAATGATAATTGCAAAGTGTGAAGCGTTGTTGTTCAACAAGTCATATGACACGTTGAAAGTTTGTAATGTATGACAGGTGGCAGTACTTACGCTCGTCATGCGTGGTTCCGACTTGTGCAAACTATTTCGAATTTAAATGGTCAATCGGTGACAACCGTCGGTGCAGTGTTATAATAAAATCATATTTTGCCATCAATGGACCCACCACAAATAATGCTGTCAAAAGTCTCGTTAGCGAGCCTCAAACATTTTGGACCAAGTTTATTAAAATGTATTATGGTCATTTGACATGTTTCACATGTTTGCAGGACGTACAATCAATCTTTTAACTAGTCGAATAAACATACATTGAAGCAGATTTCGAAATGGTCCTGACATAAACCGTAATAATGAAATGGTTTGGTTATTTTATTGTTGTCCCAACTGACATCTGTTCAGATCGTTTGTATCAGCTGGCAAAATACTAAAGCAGCGTTGCACTAATTTTGTCTGTCGCGTTTCACCTGTAGTAGGTGTGGCGGCAATTTTGGATTGCCTAATGCGGAAAATAATTTGTTTCAGAATTCTACAAGAGGGTTGTTGCTTATAAATCTAAAGGAGTCAAAGTTTCCATCGCTATTGGAGGATGGAATGATTCCCAAGGAGACAAATATTCCAGACTTGTTAACAGCCCTGCAGCAAGAAGACGATTTATTGAAAACATTCTTAAATTTTTGGATAAATGGAAATTTGATGGGTTGGATTTGGATTGGGAGTATCCTAAATGCTGGCAGGTAAGTTCAAATATTGCTAATCTTCCAGCGAATAACCACTCTTTTTGATTAGGTGGACTGTAAGAAGGGTCCAGATTCCGATAAAGCAGCTTTCGCCGCTTTTGTTAAAGAGCTTAATGAAGCTTTTAGACCAAAGGGCTATCTACTATCAGCAGCTGTGTCTCCTAGTAAAATAGTCATTGATGCTGGCTATGACGTGCCAAGCATCGGCAAATATCTTGATTGGGTTGCTGTAATGACTTACGATTTCCATGGGCAATGGGATAAGCAAACTGGACATGTAGCGCCACTATTTTATCATCCTCAAGACGAAGTTGCTTGGTTTAATTCTGTAAGACTCATATCATTATAACAAATATTTTTCATGTATTATTTTATTTTTGGTTCATAGAACTTCAGTATCCACTACTGGATCTCCGAAGGTGTTCCTAGAAGAAAAATAATTATGGGAATGCCACTTTATGGTCAATCCTTCAAACTAGAAAACGAAAAAAATAACGGCCTTAACGCTAAAGCACCAGGACCTGGAGAAGCTGGTGAATTTACTAGAGCTGCAGGATTTTTGGCTTACTATGAGATTTGTGATAGAGTTCAAAATAGGGGCTGGACTGTAGTACAAGATCCCAAGAGACGTATGGGCCCATATGCCTATAAGGGCAATGAATGGGTAAGTAACTTCTAGCAATATTATTTTGCTAGTGTTAAATACAAACATGTCCAAAGAAAATCAGAAACACTTCTTTTGAATAGTTCTGATTTGCCTGGACGCATATTTATTTTTTGTATCCCTCACAAAGACTAACTTAACCACCTATATTTTCTATTGTAATTAGGTTTCCTTTGATGATCAAGAAATGATTAGAATTAAATCAGAATTTATTAGAAGAATGGATCTTGGAGGTGGTATGATTTGGGCATTAGATTTGGATGATTTCAAGAATAAATGCGGCAAAGGCAGGCATCCACTTTTAACAACTATTAGAAATGTTTTGGCAGAAGCTGGTTCTGGCCAACCTCAGCCAATCCTACCCATTGACGATGATGTTCCTACTCCAAGCAAACCTGAGCCAGTAGAAGTACCTGACGATGAAGATGATACTCATCAAGCTTCTATGGTGGAACAATCAGGCGTAATACCACCTACTTCTCATACTACGTCTAATCCCATAGTAAACCCAAATAGTGAATTCAAAGTGGTATGCTACTTTACTAATTGGGCATGGTACCGACAAGGCCGTGGCAAATATGTACCATCAGATATTGATCCGAACTTATGTACTCATATTATATATGGTTTTGCAGTTTTGGATGGAGATCGATTGGTTATTAAACCGCATGATACTTGGGCTGATTATGATAACAGTAAGTTTAAGTATTTTTTTTTAGATTTGATTGTATCCTTAATCATTAAATGTAGAGTTCTATGAAAAAGTCACTGCTCTAAGACAAAAAGGAATTAAAGTTCTTATTGCCATTGGGGGTTGGAACGATTCAGCTGGCGACAAATATTCCAGACTTGTAAACAATCCATCTTCAAGAAGGGCATTTATCGAGCATGTTGTTGAATTTATTGAAGCCAACAACTTTGACGGGTTAGATTTGGATTGGGAATATCCTAAGTGCTGGCAAGTAAGTGATATTGACTTTTGTTAAGTGAAATTATTGAAAATTGATTGTGTCAAGGTTGATTGTAATAAAGGACCATCTTCGGACAAACCAGCATTTGCAGACCTCGTCAAAGAACTTTATGAAGCATTTCAGCCGAAAGGCTGGTTACTTTCTGCTGCAGTGTCACCAAGTAGAAGAGTCATTGATGCTGGTTATGATGTTCCAGCATTATCGAAATATTTAAGTTGGATTGCAGTGATGACTTATGATTTCCATGGACAGTGGGACAAGATTACTGGACATGTGGCTCCTATGTATACTCATCCAGAAGATATTGATGCGACATTCAACACGGTAAAAATCTTTGAGCCACATTTAAAGGTGCATCCAGACCGGTGCAACAAACAGCGCAAACGTTCGCGAACGTTGCAGAACATTTCAGTTTGGACGGTTGCGCGCTGAGACCTGCTCGCACGCGCTCTGTTTTACGCGGCGCAAAATGTTTTCCATGCGGTGTTGGTACACAAACAAAAAATTATTGCAGCAGTTTGGACGTTATCCGCGCTGGGCGGAATGTTTGTTGCAAAACATTCGCGAACGTTTTGCGCTGTTTGTTGCACCGGTCTTGATGCACCTTAAGAAGCCTCTCCGCTTAACAGGATTCCCCGCACCATTAAGTATGACATGTATGTTTTAGAATTTTACCATCAATTACTGGATTGAACAAGGAGCGGACAGAAAGAAACTTGTTATGGGCATGCCTATGTATGGTCAATCGTTCTCATTAGCAGACAACAATGAAAATGGACTTAACGCTGCAACTTATGGAGGGGGTGAGGCTGGGGAAGATACTAGAGCAAGAGGATTTTTGGCTTATTACGAGGTAATTTTTATTTGCAATGGAAAATATCTGCGGATAACACAATAATAATAATTTCATAGATCTGTACTAACATTATCAAAAAGAATTGGAAAATCGTTCGAGATAGACAAGGACGAATTGGCCCATATGCTTATCTTAGGGATCAATGGGTATCATTTGATGATATCGGCATGATCAGACATAAATCTGAATATATCAAAGCAATGGGACTTGGCGGTGGTATGATTTGGGCGTTAGATTTGGACGATTTCAGAAACGAGTGCGGTTGCGAAGAATATCCGCTTTTGAGGACCATAAACAGAGTACTTAGAGACTACGCTGTACCGGATCCTAAATGTATATTGGGTAGGGGACAAGGAAAGCCTCCTTTAAAACCAATAAAACCCACACAAAAGCCTACAGAAAGCTGGGATAGACCAACGATGAGCAATCCAAGCAGTCATCAACCCACAGAAGCCCACAAGCCAACTGAATCATCTCATATGTCCCTTTCATGCAATGGAAATGCTTTCATGTCTGACCCTGAAAATTGTAATCAATATTATTTGTGTAATCAAGGTCAATACACAATACAATCGTGCCCTAGTGGGCTCTTCTGGAATAAAGATCACTGCGACTGGCCAGAAAATACTCGATGCCACCCTGACGGTACCACAGAGAGTGCTTCAGAGGAAATTTCAACGGAAGAACCTACCTCTATAAGTACCAGCAATTATCCAATAATTTCTTCAAGTACACAACATATTCCGTCAGCTTCTACAGAGTATAAGGTGGTTTGCTACTTCACGAATTGGGCTTGGTATAGGTAAGGAACCTCTTTTATATCATAAAAAAATTATAATTATGAAATATAGCTGTAATTTTTTCTTAGACAAGGAGAGGGAAAATACTTGCCTTCCGATATCGATGGCTCATTGTGTACTCACATCAACTATGGATTCGCTGTATTAGATCCCGACACATTAACCATAAAACCTTATGATACGTGGGCTGATATTGATAATGGTATGTTATCATTGACAGTAATCGCTTCTGAAATAATAATCCTTACAATTTTTTTTTGTAGGATTCTATACAAAAGTCCTGGAATATAAGTCTAAAGGAACAAAAGTACTTATAGCCATAGGAGGTTGGAACGATTCTTTGGGAGATAAATATTCCAGGCTAGTGAACAATGCAGAAGCTAGAGCACGATTTGTGACTAACGTCATTCAATTTATTGAAAAATGGGGCTTTGATGGGCTGGATTTGGATTGGGAATATCCCAAATGTTGGCAGGTATAAAACGATATAACATTTTCTTGAACGGTCAATAACTCCTCATCAAATAACTCGAATAAAACTTTTCCTAGGTTGATTGTGAAAAAGGCCCTGACTCCGACAAAGAAGGCTTTGCATCCCTAGTGAGAGAATTAAGTTTGGCATTTAGACCTAAAGGATTACTTCTCTCATCGGCAGTATCTCCTAGCAAACAAGTTATTGATGCTGGATATGACGTTCCAACTTTGGATAAGTACTTTGACTGGATCGCCATTATGACTTATGACTTCCACGGAAACTGGGACAAACAAACGGGGCATGTTGCTCCGTTGTATTATTATGAAGGAGATACTTATGATTATTTTAATGCTGTAAGGATGCGTAATTGTTTTAAATTCTACATGTTTAAATTTTGAATAATTATTTGTGTAGAATTTCTCTATAAATTATTGGATTGAAAAAGGAGCTGATCCCAAGAAATTAGTCATGGGAATGCCTCTCTATGGTCAATCGTTCTCTCTGGCTGATAGTTCCAAGCATGGATTAAACGAAAAATCTTATGGTCCAGGAGAAGCTGGAGAATTCACTAGAGCTGGAGGATTTTTGGCATTTTATGAGGTAAGAATATTGTTTTGTTAGTGATCTTGGACTTATAATATTATTTTTCAGATTTGCGAACGAGTAAGAAGCCGAAGTTGGAATGTGAAACGAGATCCATTAGGTAGAATTGGTCCCTATGCTCATATGGGCAACCAATGGGTCTCTTACGATGATATTGCTGATATTAGACGAAAAGTAATCAATTACTCACCTAAATTATACTCACGACTTATCTTTTTTTTTAAATAATTTCAGTCCCAGCTAGTTAAATCTCTCGGACTCGGAGGTGGTATGATTTGGGCCTTAGATTTGGACGATTTTAGAAATCGATGCGGATGCGGCAAAAATCCCCTCTTAAAAACGTTGAATAATGAATTAAGAGGCACCGAAACTGATATAAATTTAGAAAATTGTACATAGAATATTGTGATATTTTTTTTTTAGAAAATAAATACCTATCTTAATTATTATTGATGGAATAAAGAAAGATGGTCAGTAGTAATTAGTCATTATATTAATATTAATCGTTGCGAAGGAAAAGCAATTGTGAATAGTGCGTGTTTTCGCATTTTTTTGGGGGCCGATGGTAGATGGGTAAATTTTAGGATTATTTTACAAGTCTGAAAATATTGTATCGTCTTTCAAAGAAGCAGCAAGTTTCATAGGTATGATACGCCTAATAAGTTAAGCTTACGTTCATTTTTAGATTTTCAATAAATTTTTTGAAAAGCAAATATTGAAAATTCTTTCATTCCCAACCCGTTTATTAATAATTGATGACAAGAAAGCTCTCGATTTTTCTGATATAGGCGACCGCAACTTGTGAAGCAGATATATCAGCTTGCAAAATGATTAATAGATTAAAAAAAAAATACATCGTGCAAAATATAGACTTCCGAATATTGCTTGATTTCAATCAATTTTTTTTATTATACAGGGTGTTTTTTAATTGAATGTCAATATTTAAGGAGGCGATTTTGTCCATTTGAAGTAGAAAACTTCTTATAAACTTAATGTCCTAAATGTCTTAACTTTTGAGATACATGGTGATAAAGTTTTCGAAAATAAATCATTTATTATTATTGATATCTGTAACACCACTTTAGATATTTTAATGAAACTTGGCATGCATGTACAACCATAAGCATTGAAACTCGGACACCCAACTGACAGATTCTGTCATTTTTCGCTATTTTAGTGAATCAGTCTTTTATCTGCTTGCTCACAGAAATCACAAACCAGTCAGAGGGTTTTTAATTGGTACAAATCGCCAACAAACAGTTTTATGACTATTTCCAACCAATGAAATTTGCTCTGAATAGGTTTGTAATTTCTGTGAGAACTGATATTTAGTGTCAGTGGTAAATCAATATTTACGGATAGGTTTTTCTCAGAGAGTAATGAGTAATATGTTATTGCCGCAGGTATGTGCTGGTGAGCAATCGCTCGTTTTACAATTACATATTGGAAAAATCGGGTGCCCCATTTTTAATGCGTGTGACTGTACTATGCATCAAAAGACATTTTTCAATGTACCGCACATTTTTTTTAATTTCCACCAGTGGCGTTCGTAATAAGGAATTTGATCTGCCTATTTTGGCAGACTTGATGGTACGCCACTGATTTCTCTAATAGAAATAATTCTTGAAATCTGCAATCATTTCCAAGCAAAGTTGATTACCTACTTAATTGTTTACAATCCGATGCACGGTTCCGGTAAAAAATTAAATAAAAATCGTTTTCCTTCATGATCATAACAATGTCGGTAATGTTAATACGACTCAGCATACCATGCAGAGAAATAGATTTTCGTTTTTAGGTGAAAAGCGTGCGTCGGATTGTAAAAAATCGAGTGATCAATTTTGCTTGAAACAATTGGAGACTTTGAGGATAGGAAGATCAAATTCCGTACTAACGCCATTGGTCGAAATTTAGAAAAATGCGGAACATTAAAAAAATCCTGTTGATACAGTATGTATGCCATATTTCATTAAAACATCTAAAGTGTTGTTACAGATATGTACGAAAGCGTAGAAGGGCCAACTTGTAATTTTTTCTCCCGTAATAAATTTCGACTTACATCTCGGAATTCTGACTTAAGTCGGAAAATGAGATAGGCATAACGTCATCATTCGATTGACCTCCGACGTTAGGTACTTGGTTTATTCTACGGTTGGGAAGAAAAAAACGAAACGTCGGATTTAAAATTTGAAAATACCATGTTGTAAAGCGAAAAAAATTATAAAACTTTCAAATTTAAATTGTGTCTCGAAACTCGAAAGTCAATCAATAGTTTTCGAAATAATTGATGAAATATTTTTAGGCGTTTCTTGGAAAACGCCCTGTATTTCATAAACTAAAAGAAATTTGGCAACACTGTAAACGAGTTTCAGATGGGCATCAAAAAAGGCAACTTTTTTCTAATTGAACCTACCTATATACCTTGTAGCTCTTACCGTTTCCGATATAACAATAGTGGTATCACTTAAAATATACACCCTGTATATTGATATTCAAATTCACCAAAGGATGGGCACAAAATGGCGATGTTTTCCATCAACCAATCAAAAATAAGACAGCAATTGTCGCCACTGTAGTTTATTAGAGTCAATGTACATAGTATTTGATTATATTTGGACCCCATACCTACAACCTTTACTATTTAAGATAGAAAAAAGTTTTAAATACAAAACTTGACAGTTTTTTTCTATATTTTCCTTTAACGGTATCAGAAAAAACAAAATCGCATCGGAAAGTGGAGAAACGTAGGCAACTTCGACTTTTTTCAATGGAACACCCTGTATATTTTGCGATAAAATGAGAGATTTCTTCTTCCTGATTCCAAATACCTACCTACCTATATAAATATTGATCACATTTGAGTGAGCCGTTTTTGACATATTTTAGTTTAAATTATAAATAATTTGCAAAGAAATTCCATCAGGATGACAAAACATTTAAATATTTTTAAAATTTCTTTGGATTTTATTTATAATTTAAGCTAAGATATATCAAAAACGGCTCATCCAAATGTGATCAATATATATATATATATATATATTTGGAATCAGGAAGAAAAGATCTTTAATTCTATCGCATAATATACAGGGTGTTCCATTAAAAAAAGTCGAAGTTGGATGCGATTTTGTTTTTTCAGATAACGTTAAAAGAAAATATAGGAAAAAACTGTCAAGTTTTGTATTTTAAATTTTTTGCTATCTTAAATAGTAAAGGCTGTAGGTATGTGTCCAAATATAATCAAATACCCTGTACAGGGTGTCCCAAATTCGAGGGCCAACATGGGGATATCGGTAACCATTGAGATACGAGGGTGGGTAAATTAGATAAAAGTTGCGCATTTTGACGCTTAACAATATGACGTTTTAAAATTTGAGAAATTCCTAATACTTCCAGAAATTGCGATTCGGGTTTTTATTTTTTCCAGGCTTTATTTCAAAAGATCGAGAAAAATTAAAATTACTTTCTTGAAGCACTTTTGGGTGGACTTTACTGTGGTGATATTATTTTAGAAATTCGACGTTTCGGTTTTCAAACGCCATCATCAACCTTATTTTTTGTAATACGGACCAGGATATTTTTTCACATAATTTGTTCGATTTTGACATTCTAAAATACGTCATATATAACACGTTTTGAAGTTCCGACGTTTCGACCGAAAATATCCATTCTCAGACAAAATTATGACTATAATCTTTGAATACAATTTGGAGCTTCAATTCGCATGGCAATTTTACTTAAAAGACGTGATATAATCTAATTTCTTGTTTTCTGGCAGAGTTTTTATAATTTTAAAATCGATTTTCAATTACTTTAGCTGGAATGGAGTAAACTTCTCTTATTAAGTTTTGTCTCAAGACAATATTGTCACAGCCTCTCTGTGACGAGTGGTGTAGGGTGGATAGATGGAGAGAAACTCGCTCAGTTTTATATAAAAAGGTGTATATTTGGTAAGAGGTTATTATGTCATGAATCCTCCAGGATACATGCTCTTCCGTGGGAAGGGCCACACGTCTGACGCTACTTAGGAAGGAATGTCTGTTTGATGCTAATGTTACGTAGAATGTTAATCATCGTTTAACTGATCCTCATCTACAGGAGCTTTCTCAGGGTGGCGGTACTTGCACTAGATGACGATGCAGTGTCCCAGAGGGGCTTTTCCAGGGTGGCGGTACTTGCACTGGGGAGACTTGATTCCAGAGGAGTGTTCCCAGGGTGGCGGTACTAATACTGGCTCAAGTCTGTCTGTTGCTCGGCTTGGCCCACTATTTATATAAATTTATTGCTGAATTGCAATAAACATCCGATCGAATCGACAATTAAATTAATAGGGTTGAATATCGGGTCCTCCTTTCCTAAGTAGCTAGTTGACATATGCCCCCCTCCATGAAGCATTGGACCCCCAATGCTTGGAAGAGACATAACAAAAAAATACATAAAAATACCATAATATATATACATGTCGTTTTAGAACGTCTTTCTTCGTTGTCCGACACCTAATTTCCATCCTCTTCTATCGTCGCAATTCTCTGATGAGAGATTTCTTTCACTCATGGACTTTTGTATGGTCTTCTGCCATTCCAGTTTTGGTCTTCCTCGTTTTCTTCTACCTGTTGGTTGCCAATGCAGCATTTTTCTGGGCCACCTGTCATCTGGCATTCGTTCTACGTGTCCGTACCAGGTAAGTTGTTTCTTTTCAATGTCCTGGACTATCGTACCTTCTATACCCATTTGTTGTTTTATATTGTCGTTCCTTATTCTGTCTCTTCGTGAGATTCACATGGATCTTCTAATAGCATCCAAATCAACTGCTTCCACTTTTTTCTTTTGTCTGTCTGTAATTCTCCAAGTCTCGGCTCCATATAGAAGGCTGCTCTTTATCATTGTCTCGTATATATTAAATTTTCTCTTCTTTGTAATTTCCTTGCTCCATAATATTCCATTTAGGCATCCTATTACTTTTTTAGCTTTAACTATTCGCTTTTCTATTTCTTTCACGTCTGTTCCGGTGTTGTCGAATGTGATACCTAGATATTCATATTCTTGACATTGCAGAATTTCCTGACCATCGTCCACTTCCAAGTTTCCGTTCTGGTTGCCTACACATAGATATTTTGTTTTATTTATATTAACTCTCAGGCCCCATTCTTGATACTCTTCTATCAGCTTTCTAATCATATATTGCATGTCCTCTTTGTCACTGGCCACTATGACCTGATCATCTGCAAACTGAAGAGTAAACAGGCACCTATCATTTATCTCTATACCCATTCCATGGATCTTCCTCTTCCAATTTTTCAGTGAAAAATACCATAATAATTTCAAAAATTACAATAATATCCTATTCCTAAAATATCCCTTTTTTACAATAATATCCTAATTATAAAATATCTCTGCTTAACAATTATATAATCCAAATATCGGGTATAGAAAAAAATTAAAAAATAAAATTAACAAAAGTTTTTTATGGTGGGATTCGTCAGGGTGCATTATTATTCAGGTTACTACAAAAAAGTATCTTATAACTAAGAAATTTCATCAACTTTACCTCTTCAGCCATGGGTTTTTTCTTTTGGTTCGGTCCTGTTTTCTGTATTGTGGGTTCGTTCTGATTCCAAGTACTTCTTGGTGGGTCAGCTAGATCGTGGGGTGTAAACGGTCCCAAGGTCTAAGTGTTGTTGCCTGGTTCCTGGTTTGTTATGCTTCTTGTTTATT